ACCCCCATCTGCCTGCCTCCCAGCCCCCACACTCCTCTCCAACCAGACCTTCCCCCATCCATCTGCTCCCCTCCCCAGTCTGCAGGCTTCCCCCAGCCCCAGCCCCCCTCACCTCCATTGCTGGGCCCCCCCAGCACCCCCCGCAGGGCGAGCAGGCGTCTCTCGGCCTCGGAGCCCTGCCCCAGGGCACATTGCAGGCTCCGGCCCAGTCGCTCCACCAGGCCCGGGTCCAAGGCCCCCCCAAAATCCTCGGGATACCCGTCCAGCCAGGAGCACATCACCGAGGAGAAGGCCCTGGGGGGGAGATGGGGGGTGAATGGGGGACACGGCCGGGGAAAGGGATGTGGGGGGCCTGTGGGGGGGGGTCACTCACCGCTGCAGTTCAGCTGTCTCCGGGGAGACAGGCCTCAGCTCCAGAGCCCCGACCTCCTCCAGCCTGAGGGAGAGACTGGGTCAGGGGGGCTGCCATGGCCCCTGCGCTCCCCTCCCCACACCTGGACGACTCCTTCCCTTCGTGCACGCCCCCTAACCCCCCCCTCCGGTTCCCAGCCCTCCCCTCTCATCCCCCCATGGGGCCTGGCTCTCCCCTTGTGTCCCCCCCCATCCCCTCTACCCCCACGTCCCCCCCATAATCCCAATTCTAGTCACGCCCCACTTTCCCCCAGCGTCCTGCCCCCTCCCCCTACTTACCCCATGTCCTGCACCCCCTCCCCCCACTTACCCCCAGGATCCTGCGCCCCCTCCACCCCAGCCCCGTCACCTGTCAAGCAGCAACCCCAGCACCGTGGGGGGGCGGGTGAACACCCGGTAGGTGACCAGGAAGGCAGGGACGTAGGTGGCGTCACCCAGCGTCTGGGCCTCCAGCAGGTGCCAAACCAGCCGGACCAGCGACCCGGCCTTCAGTGAGCGGGCCTGGCTCCCCGCCCCCCCCGGGGCCTGTGGGGAGAACATCAGAGTCAGCCTGGATCCCCCCGCTTCCCCCCAGTGACCCGGCCTGGCTGCCTCCCCCCTGGGGCTTGTGGGGAGAGTGTCAGGGCCAGCCTGAACCCCGCATTCCCCCCCAGTGACCCGGCCTGGCTGCCTGCCCCCCTGGGGCCTGTGGGGAGAACGTCAGTCAACCTGGACTCCCCCCACCATTCCCTCTCAGTGACAGCCCCCCCCCATACCGCTAGGGCCTGGGGGAAGAGAGGGCACCAGAGCCAACCTGCCCCCCACACTCACCCCTGGCTGGGCGCCCCCGGACTGGCGCGTGGTCACTGTGTAGATCACTCCCTCCTCGGCCTCCTCCGTCAGGGTCACTGGGGGCTGAGGGAGGGCGGAGGGTTACCTCGGGTATCACCGCCCCCCACCTCTCCCCCCTGCCCCCTCCAACTG